GATCAGATAATAGCATATGTAACATTAAACATACACCAGGGCCAAATATCACACTATAACCAGATGGGCAGACTTGAGATTATAGATTAGATTCGCCTCTGTGACGTCAAAGGTAGAATGTTTGAAAATGACATTGTTTGGCAAGGCGTGTTTGAAATTGGCGCTTGAAGTATGCATCAGTATATTTATATTTGAAACGCGGAGCTATATGACGCCAGCAGTTATTATTATTATATTCCCTCACTTATAAAAATACTGCTGTTTTCCAACAGAAATCTTGATACCTTAACTCACAGTACGTAAATACAATATTCAATTTTCTTTAACCATTTATGCCAATACCAGAACATGACTTATGTTTGGTGGGAATCTCAAATCACGCATTTTCAAATGATTATGAGTATGTACATTAGTGTTACTATATCATAAAGGTTCTTTTTGAATTTGTAATGTATTGTAATTGTAAATGGAAAATAGAAATACCTCTGCAAGCATTATGGAATTGATTACCTGGTTTGATAACAATCGATGGTCATCTTCGAACTTCATTGTGTTCATCATTATCTCATAGAAAATATAACCATTCAAAGTCAAAGCTAATGCGATAAGATGTAAATGACAACTTAAAACCATCCTCAGTATTCAACATTGCATAGGATTAACAAAATGTCTATTGATTATGGAACAAATGCCATTTTGCCTGACGGCTGTGATTGACAAAAGGAGATATATAGTCTATACACTAATGACAAATTGCTCCTTACACTGTTGTATTTGGTCGCCGCTGTGGAGTGAACCAGAACATGTTCATCAACCAATCACATTACAGGAGATTGGTCAAGCTACTTACTGTAGCGTGGTCAGGTAACTAGGTCAGTGGGTAATACTGGCCTTTATTCAAAGACGAAACTATAGTGTATCTAGCGCACCATTTTATCAACTACTCAGTAGTTATCACCCATATTTGGTCAAAGTGAATAGCCTCAAATTGCTTTTGAGAGATTCAATATTTCTTTTTGCGTAGGTTGAACATTCTATGCAAGCTGGTACGATTTACATATAAGGATGGAACGCTAAATATGCAACTCTATTTGAACAATGTATCCAATTATACTAAGTTGATGCTCTTTAATTTTTAGATTCAACATTATTGATCATCTGTAATGAATATGATTATAGTATATCAAGAACATATGTCATGTATTTATTAGTACATCAATACGTGTGACAAACATTCCAGGTATATAAATGTATATATATTATAAATATTATAAATGTATAAATGTATATATATTAATCGTTTGAGAAGCAATGTTAACAAATGGGTCGAACATCCCATCAGTTGCTCTAACCCATTAACGAAATGACTATCAAGGCTAGGTTTCTAATAGCAACGGGGTGGTCATTTGACGTGCATATATTATTCGAGATTGCACGATTTCTCTCCCCTTAGACGTGCCCGTTAGGGGGCGTCGTGTAAACGAATGTAAAATTTCTTACAGACACTCTGAAAACACGAGACAATTTTCATTACAATTTGCGTTGATAAGATATGGCTATGTTAAACCTATGATATATACGTATACTTTTGGCTGCGCCAGGATAACGTTATATTTGATAGCAGAAACCGTTCGCCATCATATCAGGAATGTCCTCATAAGTACATCATGTGATTCCTAGATATATTTATAGATATTAAATCAGATAATAATAACATTATTGAAAAAAGCAAACATATCACTTTAAATCATACTCAAGCTACATGTAGCTCATTTTGTGTCTTCAAGAAAAGGTATTTTTCATTTCACCAAGCTACTCCTCATATACTAAAACTGCAGCTTATGAATCTCACCATGAACTTGTATGTTTGTGATTATAATATGACGAATATTTCACATTCCTCCACATAATTCTGTCACCACAGTTCTTACAGCTCATCCGTTTCTATGAGCTAACGTGACCATAAGAACGTATTTTCGGACAGATACACATTCACCTGATAGTTTTATTTCACCCTGTGTAAATGAAAATACTATACATGCTGAATCCATTCGGGATTTTAATTGTTTAACGGCTAGTTAGTTGTGTATATTTATTGTTGTAGTGAAGATAATTTCTTATGTTACACAATAAACAGCTCTGGCTTAATGTGTCCATACAGGGAACATGCAACACACTTTCTTCAGCCAATAATCATTATAATCTGTTATTCCTTCGACCACCGAAGCAGCGTGTGTATTGTATTCAGTCATCATATATTATTATATAATATCTTTACCTTGGTTGAGGTTCGTTTTCCTAAATTCCTAATTTAATCGTTATATAATTCAACATGTTTTCGTTTCAAGCAGTAGTTTTGGAAATGTAATTTTTATGTCATTGAGTTATCATAGAAAATAAATATTTCTTTTCTTGGTATAACGCATTACTTTAAACACAATATGAAAAGAAAATATATTTGATAAATAAAATATGGTTAACACGACATGTATGTCATCGAGATACACACAGTCATATCTTGATCACACAATGTGCTCTAAATATCCGAATCGATGAATATCTACCTATCGGTCTTTTGTTATTGACGAGTCGAAAACACCTCCAGATATCAGAGATCGAATACGCCAGGAGAAGTGATATCCCTACGCGACTGTCTGGAAAATGTCTTGCCCAGAACAGCTCAGTCAATCAAATGTATAGACTCTCTTTGACATCGGTTTTATTCAACCATTCCATCTGCGAACCTCCGTCCAATTTTGCTACCCGTATATGCCTCTAAGCCGGCTTATGATAATATTTATTTGGGTGTTCGTGACTACCAAATGAAGACTTATCTTCAGGTTGGAGGCGACGACACTAAGCAGTTATAAATAGTTCGGCTACTGGGCCTCAGCAGTGCGGACGAGTGTTGCCAAGGGGACCATTTAAAGCTAAATTCTACTTTCAAGAAATCAGGAAATATAAATTTATCTGTTCATTACAAGCATTATTTGCATATAACATTGAACATATGTAGCTGAGATAATTTGCATTTGCTGAGGGTCATCTGTGGGTTTTCAATTTTGATAAAGATTAAAACTTAATTCTTATGATTGAAGCATTTCTAATAACGGATGTGTCCGTAAAAAGATACAAACTACGAACCAAGTAGAATAAGAAGCTCATATATGAAGTGCAAATAATTAAATAAATAAAAAAGGAACCATCCATTTCAACATGATTTAATATTAGTCATTTACAATTGTTCAAGTTAAGACTCCAAAAAAAACCCCATGAAAAACGACTGAATATTTGTAGATTCGTTTTTGACGTATTTGAATATAGCTACAAAACCATTTGCATTTTCATAAAAAGTCTCTGCTAAAAGCAGAGTCTATTGTACTATTTCTACTTGTGAAATTTATACTACGCCGACTATATCATAAAAATGTATTGGAAATGTGAAGATTTGGAATAAGAAATATGAATAAATAGTTTGGTATAAGCCTTGATGACATGATAATACTTTTTTCGTTTACTTTCAAAATACGAATTATTTTTAGCAAACATTTTTATGCAGCTTTATGAATATGCGAATGTGTGTAATAATATTAAATAAGAAAGAGCTATGATACACGAGCAAGTTTGAAGCCATACTTTATATTCATTCAGCATTCGCATTTGATTTCTTTTGTAATCACAGTATATTTAATTATATAAATTGTATATTATTCACAAACAATGAGCTTGTATGATTAGAACAATGCCAACAATTGTAAATAAAAATTATGAAATGAATAAACGTTTTAGTAACAGCACAAAGTCAAGCATAACCTGAGGTTGTATCATGGAAATGGTAAATAACAATAATTGTAATAACTCCATTGTAAATAATCTTCATTCCAAATGTCAAGACATTTATCAAGAATTCATTAGTATTTCCTCATATATCCAACAGCAACTTAAGAACATACAGATTGGTCGGGTCATCAATAAATATTGATAATTATCTTACTCACGAAAAAACCCAAAGCTCCATGCTCACCATAAACCATAAATTTAAAAAAATTAAACTGGCAGATATACAAAAGAACTATTCAGAAGACCACATGTTATGTCTTCGGGGATGAGCAACACTATGCAATGTCCTGTGTCAAATGTTATCAAGAGAGAATCGCAATTTCCAAACAATCTTCAATCATGATCAAGTATTTGGTGCACAAAAGGAACAATTCCTTATAGTTCTTACCAATAGTTACCAGGAAACAATTCCGCAAATATGTTATCATATCTACAATTATAAATAAAGTTCCTATGACAGTCCAAAAATATTGCTAAATTCTCCAATTGTTTCCGAACAATTATAATATATTACATTTGTTTTTAAATTACGTAATTAAAACGTACCTCCTTTTTCTCTGGGACATATCTGTATGTTTTGTATTTACTGTGCATATGTATCTTATCTTATCTTATCTTATGCGATAATAACAAATTATGTTTTAACGTTCGCCGAATCATATTTCTTCTTCAAATGCTGCTATGTTAATAATTTCAAAATACTCGTTTCCCATTTCATCAAACTGATTTACTAATTTATTGAAAACCGTGCCATATATATTCCTTACAATGAAACAAGGCTATTCCAGAACTGGACGTAAAATAATTTCCGAAAATTCTGAATGCTCAGAACGCACACCTACGATGTACACATGTGGTCTCTATGTACATCTTCCTTATGTTCTATAGCTACAGCAGTTCATTAATGATAGGCTCATTAAACTGTCCAAATTAAAACTATTGTTTTCTAATATTCAACGTTCTATTCGAGAAATAGAATAAATATCTACCTGCATACCACAACATAAATATGTCTAAAGGGTAAAAAGAGACGCGACGCAACTTCGTAAATAAAATCTCCAAGAAATTGCATTAATTTTACCCGAGACATACCATTTGAAATGTATTCTTGCTTTCAGTGAAAGGATCGTATAATAATTTTGGTATGTACTTGTTTACAGTCGGTCATTAAGAAGTGTGGATTTCGGAGCCTGGGGGAAGGTGAGGTCGTCGAGTTCGACAGCAAACCCTCAGACAAGGGGATGGAAGCTACCCTTGTGTGCGGCCCCGGGGGTACGGAGTGTCGGGGTAGTGACAGAAGACCACAATCAAGAAGGAAATTCAGGAAAATCAGGTAATAATGGAAAATAATTATTGGAAAGTTTAGATATATGTCGACAATATTGAATAAAACAAGCAACGAAAAATGGAACGACATCAATATCTCGAATCTCAAAATTTATACCTTTTCGTCCAGCTAAACTTGCAATTTAATATTTTTTTCTGTATGTTAAATGACATCATTATTGATGTCATTCGGTCTTTGATAGCCAAATATATGTCTAACGCAAGTACCAGAATACGGACTGTCATAAATTCTTTAATTTGGTTAAATTGTGAATTCTCTTTAAAGGTCTTATATTCTTATAAATATTTCGTGATTTCAACATCCCACACGCGAACCATTATACATTGACGTGTGTTATTATATTTGTAATGTTTTACGTGTGACACTATAACACTTTTGAAGCGTGGAAACATATAAAAAATATATTTGTGATACGTATGAACACGTACAAGCTGAACCCAAGAAGATGTTGATTTCCGATATATTCTGAAAATTAATAGTAGTCAATTTTAGACATGTTATTCACGATCCATTTGTGTTCTGCTGTAATTATATGTTACTTGGTCAGAATTGTGATTATTACAGATGTTAAAAAAAGAAAGGTTTCTAATAAAAAAGATGTAGTTAATGACAAATATGTATTGTTACAATTCCTTGTGCCTATGGTGAACGTAAATGATAATTTCCTAATTCTTCTTTTTGACGAGAAAAGTGCAAATGAGTGTGATATCACTAATACAAATTAGTGGAATTACACGAAAACGTATTCTATAAAATATAATCATATCATGATTTTCCGGTATGTCTTATTTGTATTTATAACACGAATAAATAAAACTTCAGACCACCTATGACACTATCATTTGTAACTGCCCCTATGAGTAATTTAAGACTCACTATTACTCTCTCTGTCAAACAGTCAGCGGAAAGATGCGGGGCATCTAATAGTATTGTTTGGAGAATATAAATGTCAATATGTTCTTCAAGAGGGAATAAGTCACCTCATATCTATGTATATTCAAGATGGCATACCATCGTGTATCGACGTCCATAATATGATTATGAGGCACCGCCCGTATACATAGTACATTTGGGTAATGTTCGCAGTACACGTTTGTCAGCAAGGCATGTTTTCTTCAGTCTCGTGCTTTGAAATAAGGAGAATATGATTTTATTGATTGTCATGCTGCAATGCACATAAACACAACATGCAAATCCCCTGAACCTGGTACAGTAAGTGTTACCCCAGATATCTATTGATGTACGATGTGATATGTATGCATTTAAGGCTTGCATCAATTTTGGATATAATATAATCGAAATATTCTAATCGTGAAAACCAATATACGCGAAATAATTGCTCAAATCCCAAGAACATTATGATGTCAACATCTTTTCAATGCATGTTGTCCAGAAAAACTCGTTAGAAAAGTTCGACTAATTTAGTTTAATTGTCATAGCGTACACACTTCCTGAAAACAGAGTATCATCTCTGAACAACCACCATATCCTTTTTACAAGAAACTTGCAGGAAGATCGATATAGACTAACATCTACAGCGGCAGCACCCGCGACCTTTCACCTTCACCTTGAAAACGTGACCTCTAGCTGCTGCAAGATGTCGGTGTATCTCATCCCACACAAAGAGCTGCTGACCGCTGGCTAAGCTCCACCCACTGGCCAGTGAATGTAGGTCACCGGGAGACGATATTGACTAGCTTGTGTTGTTATGGTATGGGTCAAGCCCAGTCCAGCGGTCAATGTTGCACGGTGTGTTCAGTAATGACTTGTTCCTGAAAGATGGGTTTGACGATAATTGTATGAACGAATCTGGAAATAAATGTTGCGGCGTTAAATAATTGATAAATAGCTCAACGTAAGTTTTAAATTGGTAGTTGCAATTTAAATGAGCCTACTTTTGCTTACCTTTCTTTTTGTTGTATTCACTTTTTCCACTCAAACGTACAATATTTTGCTTTTGGGATGGTATAATGGAGTAACAACCAATAAGAGCTAGTTGGTACATGAGAACTTACCACAATGAACACAATAGTACTGCCCAACAGGTGACGGAGCTAACACATAGCAAGGTTAATATAATCTACCCCCCACCCTTCATCTATATACTAACAGATAAATAGATACGGAAAGTACAGATGGTCATCTTCACCATAAATGTCTCTGATCGATACTGATAATGGGATCTGTTCAATCAATTGCAACAGTTTGGCATCATTTGTGTCATGGTCCCTACTAAAAGTCGTAAAAGTAAAAGCTTAATGAGCTGACGTCAAAAGGCTGCCGATTTGAAATCGTTCTAATGACATTCTTCTCATCAGGGGTATCAGTTATAAGAAGACTATACGTTTTTGTTATGACTATAGATATTCCTGTCTTGTGTAGAATACTTATGGTGTTTCTACCTGTTGTATGTTGGTAAATAGCATAGATGTTAAGCTAAAGGTTACCTTTGTCTATTAGAAAAGTGTTGTTGAAATACTGTCAAAATCATATGTTGACAAGCTACGAATATATAAAACCCTTGAGATAAGACGCAAATTGTCTGAGGTTTGAGTGTTGAACCACAGTTTCTGTTTGGCTGGTTCGGCTCTGGCTTCGCCACTGCTGCTATCGATTTATGCTAATACAAGCAAGTGTCTATTTATAGCTACGGAAGATGTAAAAACGGTTTTATGCAATTTCTTATGATTGCGTAATACAGAAAGCATCTGATTTGTATGTATGCTATTAAGTGTAATTAGTGACCCGCGCCTGATTTCTGATTCTAATATACCCGGAAGATTTTGATGAATATGCTTTGATAATTAACGATACACACATTCGCGCGCGTACGCACACGCGCACATAATATGTATCATAATGTAATACACAAAATAATCTACGCACAACAATGGTTTGTACTAAAAATGAAGGTCTATGCATGATGCAAGGTCCGCTAATGTCATCTCAGACCAGTGTTATCTAGATACTGTGGTGTACCGGAAAATGATGATTGAATGTACACTTGACAAACGGTTCCATTCGAGTAAATGCCAAGGCTATTTTAACATAACGTTGGAAGAAACAGCGGAAAGATATCGTATTACACATGTGATTGATTTCAATAGTCACACATGTCATCAAGGCACAAGCCATTAATGCTTGAAATGATTAATATCATAGTTAATACGCTAGTCATTAGTACCATTACCATTTCGTTCATCGACCTTCAAGATGTATCGATTTGAACGTCACGCGGTATTCTGATATTATATTCTTGACTCTTTGGGAAAGACGGTCAGCGCATAGAAATGGCCAGATATTATTCACTTATGAATTTTAGTGTTAGTTGGTATGTATAAGAAAAAGAGCCCTTTGTAGATAATACCCTTTCTTGTACAGTGTGGACTGTCATTTAGAGAAACCGTTTTGTGTAAATGTCGAAGATTGATTATCCCTTTAGGGTGGTAAAGTAAGTTTGTTCTTACTTTTGTCACATTGAAGTTGATGGGACTTGGTCCTATGATAGCACTGTCACATCAATCTGAAAACCCAGACTTCACAGTGTTGCGTCCTGTGATGTTTTAATCTTGTCAAATCAAGATGTCAGTATTCGTAATTTGGCCTTGTTTGTCAGTGTTGCTTTGGGTGACTACATCAACAACCTTTTACCATTTATGCAGTCTGCAGACCGAAGGTGTTTATGTCAAAGATTCAGGAATAAAAAACACTACTTGCACAGGACCATGTTCATGCTTTCAATAAGAAAGGGTCACGTGGGAATGCTTGCGGATATTGATTGGTGGGCATGTCAGAGGAATATGCTGATATGAGAATGTGTTGATTTATTTAGTTTTAATTGTTAATGCTTTCTGTTTTAGATGCTACAACTGTGGCGAAATAAGCAACCATATTGCTGCTAAATGCCCATGTGGCCCCCTGACGAAACGCTGCTATAACTGCCGTTCTGAAGACCACCTCGTGGCCGACTGTCCACACCAACAGCAGCAACAACAACAACAGTCCCACGTCTTTACCTCACCTACCACCTTAGGCAGGAAGGGACGCAATGGAAACAGCAACGGGAATGGCTACGACAGTGGCGACCCGTCCATGGGAATGCCCCAGATCGGTCCAGTATGACGTCATACGGCGTCGCTAGGCAACGTTGATCAGAAGAGGACAAGGGCGGGTTTTGAATTGTCGCCCCTGTTTGTTACTAGAAACAAACTTGTTACGCTGTAGTGAAATACGAACGATTTGACTGTCAGTGTATGACATATATGCCGCCATATTTGCTCCAAACCACGTTATGCTGATCTCAGTAGAGGCCACGTGCTGACGTGATTCCACGTGATTGTTGTGGTGCTATGTTGCAGGATATGGCCAGACTGACAAGCCCTTGTCACCTCTCATAGATTGGCGTCCATATTTAAGTTGTGGATACCCGAGCGAGCTCGAGTGTGAGTCTCGTGTCAGTTACATTCTCCTGATGTTCGTCGTTAGATGTGAGATGTGTTGAAGCCAGTAGTACATTAGATATGTCATGGGACAAGTACACCTTGCTCCCTAACACATGGATATTATCAAGCCAAAGAAATATACAAGTTTATTGTGGAAAGTAAAGATACCCCTAGCAACATATGAAGCTGTATATGCTGTCACGGAAACAGTAGTGAACGTGACGACGTCATGGCGACGTGATGCCGTCACGTCGCCAGCACGAAGTCGTCGTAAGTGGACAGAGAGTTGTGCAGAGTTCACCTCCAAGCTTACTGTGGACACATCGGCGTAGGACTCGGGTATCCGACCAGTGAACAGTGATGTCACCTGTGACGTCATGCCCAAGGCATTCAGTGACGTATCAGCTACCTCAAACAGCCACTCGCTAGGGGGGTTGTCAAAACCTGAGCACAAGAGAGTATGGCTCGCTGGACCAAGTGGGGGATGGAGGGAAGAGGGGTTAAAAGAGGGGAGGAGAAGGGAAAGGAGGTCGGTGAGCGGGTGGGTGTGCACAGATTTACTCCATCATCTATCTACCTCACTGCCCAGATTCAGGTATCTAAAGATGCTGTCTCACTTGAACGCTCGCTGAATCAGTATTCCATTATGAATACATGGTAGTCGTGGCACCATGACTGTCTCTAGGCGTCGTGCGATATAGATTTGACTTCAATATCTAGATTCATGCTTCATTTCTGTTTTAAACATTTCGTTTTTCTACGTTTATTCGGTACACTTTGTGGAATGATTGTGCAATATTTCAAAATCATGTTAATTGTTTCCCCAGGACTGTTCATCCTCATTCTATGAATGAGTACCTAGATATGCAGGAACCTGATTATCAAAATGGTACTCAATATCAAACGTGAGACAGCGTCTTTACTATATATTATTTTTGCGGAGGTACGTTTTTTTCTAGATGTAAATTGTACAACATTTATGTTGGGACATGTTAAATTTTATTTTGTTGATGATTTTGTATTGCGTGACGTCATCTTTGGTGGAGTCGTTGATTTTTCAAAGATTTGTCTCCTAGTCATTCTGGTACTTGTGAGTTGTCGCCCTTTGTTTCTCATGCGCCGTCGAGAATAATACGTGTAGGTCCATATACCACTGATAATCAAAATAACGCAAATCAATAGGGATCTAGGCCCGATAAGGGATCCTTGAGCTGAGACTAATGTAATCCGAATACTCTAACATGGACATACATTAGTCTTAGAACTTGGACCGCTTTGTGCAAGCGAGGCCTGATTTGGTGAGAATTTACAAAATGGCGGCGTATGTGAAAGAATGGAAGATGACACGCTGGCCGGATCCACAGCTACGTATGCCAATGGTGAAGAAAGGGAGTCGATAACCAGAGTAGAATTTCACACTGTCATATTTATGAGAAACGAACGACATCGATATTTTCTAAACACAATCGAAGAGTTACTGGCAGCACAGACGTGGGATGTGAACCCACAATTTTATGGTTTAGGAGGCATGCCCAGTAAACACGCCGGGCATGCGCAATCATATCAAACTTTACAGCCGAGGCCGGTGAATTGTAATCCTATTTTTATACATTTAACTTATATCTTAATCTGTCCTTAAGTCCTTGAACAACAACTGAGAGAAATTTGTTGCAAAATGGTTGTTTCAATATTTCGTATTTCTCGAATGAAAACGGTAACAGGAGTACAATGTTTTAAACATTATAAACTACAAAATATTTCATCCAAGCATCATTTTTACCATTGTGTTTGGACCACTATACAAATGGTTGGGATCAAAATATTAACTGGAGAAATACCATGTGCATTAATGGGAGTATGTCAAAAGTTTCCAAAGTACATTGGTTGGCGGATAACAGTGATAGTTCGGAATACCACATGAACTAAAACATTGTTTGCTGAGCAGTGGCTGTAGGTTGAGGCGACGTCAGTTCAACCGACTGTTTGGGAACTTATGAAATGCTCCATGTATTCATATAGCATAAATTCAGAACATCACATGGAGACATTATGGCAATCTTGAGAATAATTCTTTAGCCTTACTAACACGATGTCAACTGTATTATCACACATGAGTGGGATATGTTGATACATCTTACGTTATTCAGACATTCTCTACATACACTTCATCTGAGCCAGGATTTCAGTTCTCGTTCGTGACAGAAAAGAAGTTATGGAGAACATAGTATATCGTCCCTTTCTTTGATCGGATAATTTATTCACATATACCAACCAACATTTTCATTAGCAAACACTCTCCTATGCATGTTTTGGCAATGGTATTCTATAAAAATACAATATAGGCATAGCTCCTGTGCGAGCGTATTGACTATCAGTTGGGTATTGGCGAACGTAGAGGACAGTGCGAGAATTGACCTTGAGCGGTGTGGTTGTCTAACCCAGGAAACTCCCATAAATCTTTGTTCTTTTACAGTACAATTATCTTGTATATTCTTGTGTGGGTGACAGATATTGTCATTGCATATGTTGTGCGCATTGCGATAAAATGCCCTTGCCATTATGCTTAGTGTAATGTAGCTTATTCGTAAGCAAGGTCAAAGGTCAGACTCTAATATTTGACATGTGCGGTGTTTACTTTTTTTCATTAGCTTGCCTTTCTTTGAAGAGTGCATATGTGTTAGCTAGTCCATTCCTCGGTATCATTAATCACATTCGTGTTGTGAAGGAAACCGGACTTAGAACCGGTGTTGTTAGCCGTCATATTGGCGGAAACATGTTACTTGGCGATGTACGCATGCGCTGAGACACGTGGTTCAGCTCGTGAATGCTAATGATCCAAAGATCTCTGATTTGGGTAACTATTTAAAGATTTACAATTTCCACTGTTATAGCCCGCACGGTGTTGTACACCACTATTAGCAATTGTTGTTTAGGCTAAAATAAAAATACTTGCGTTTCCCGTAACCCGTTATCTAACTTGGGATCCTAAAACCTGTTCCACATCTGCTACTAGTCGTCAAACAAAAAATAAAATAAATGTATGTACATATAAAACAAGTACCGAGAGACCAACACGTTTATGTTAAGGACATGTTACCTGAAACACAAGTATTTCTTTTTATTGCCTCAGATCAAAGTTTATTTTTCTATTTTGGGCGAAAACAACGATAGTTGAAATTCAAAGTTATTAACCGTATCAGTATGGCTGAGAAGTGTATTCGCCTATGGCAGTAACACAGCAGCGACATCACATTGTGTCATTATACCAAACACTATACTAAAACCAATGGAAACGTTTTCTTCAGTGTTCAATGTTATCACTCTCAATCATTGCTACGTTCTGGTATTGTGGACATTATACTCTGTAATAGAAATATCAGCCAGGAAGGGCATGATTGATGTCCCCAAGGTTAAATGTGTAAATTAAATGTATTGGTACATTCGCATTACTTATAATGTGTACTTTATAGTCAGTTTTAAGGTCAGTATTGGTATCGAAGAAACAATACAAATCACCCATCGGGCTTTGTTAGACTTGTTATGTACGAAAACCACCAGGCCTTCATTTCTTGCACATTTTGGAAATAACAATTGTAAAACGTTGAAATTCTTTACTGAGCGTATGTCTAGAAAGTCGTACACGTTTGGCCACGTACTTAAGAATAACATAACTATGTAATATAAGAGCGATTTTTATGTATGAAGTGCTTTGATAATGAAGATAAAAAATGGAACGGTTAAGCATAAATACCAATTAGGACAATATCGATTATCTCCAGTATAAGGATACCACCACTGCCGCCATGATTTCCTTTCGTGGTATACGTACCTTTGGTATAACACATATTGCAGGGATATTTATTGGATGGGTGAGGTGTTCAAACGTGTGGTTCTGAGAGGGACATGTATTATAGAGAACGTAAGTCATGTATATAGTCAACTCGTGCACTGCCGTTCGGACTTGTTAATGGCACTGAATTCAGGTGGATAGTCTGATGTTAATTGCCACATATATTTAATTACCTAGTTGTAGAAATCAGTTGTGAGACACCAATCTCCCCAGGTATCTGTGCAGATATTTTTCCATATGTTTATTTAAATGTATTTTTTCTACAATCTCCAATCAATAATTAGTGGTGATAAACTACGAGTGTTCTCATGAGTTTTTATATATTTCTAAAATAGTTTTACTCCATGATATTAAGAATGTTCTTTTTCACAGTTTGCATAAACCACACTTTAGACTAGAATAATTGTATTTATTGCTTACTTTTGAAATCGACATTGAAATAATCAAATCTTTGTCCCAATTGTTTTACAATTCTTTACTTGATCACTTTGCCAAAGACGCACTACATTACCGCGCGCAGTGTCTTCCGTCATAAATGTGTAGCACGTTCCTAGTGTAAGTATTTCCGCTTTAAGCCACATCCGGGGCTCTCAGGTGAACCAATCTGATATTGAAATAAGCTAGTATGTTTATTGTTATGAATTTGTATTGTGTATCACCGGGAAACCAGACTCGTGACTCTGTATACGTTAATATATGTTTACAAGATTTATGATAACCAATTAAAGGACATTACGTCAATGTTATTCTTGCCTAAGTATAATTTGATGAATATTACCTTTTCTGCTATAATAATATCTTCTGTAATATGGGAATGTGTTGTGAAATGTCACGTTGAGGTAATATTTGGGATGAATGAAAAACTATATTGTTGTGTACAGAGTCACGTATTGGTACCGCATATCACTGTTTACAACAGAGTTCCAACCGCCCATCATCATCATCATCTTCATCCTTATCATAATCATCATCGTTTTCATCGTCATTATGAAACCCATCAACTGTTCAACCTTTCATTCACTCACCAGGAAGTTCAACTTTCCTGAAAACCTTAAAAAGGGTTTAAAATCAGTCAGCCTCAACTAAAAGTTACCGGGTCGTCATGGCAACAAAGTTGTTAATATGTGTACATCGGATCATGTGAAACACTGCATGGTAAAGGAGTCAGAATTGTTATCATTGTAATGTCATTTAAGCATTTAATGATACATTTCGGGAGTTTTGATACTAAGGTTGTTATTTAGAAACGTAAGGCTAAAAGGAGTTGCCAATCATTTGCTGACATTAAAGGATGGACAAGTTGAGTCATAATATAGGAGTTATCTCCCCTTTTCTAAATCTGCTGACTTCCCGTAAAAAACGATTTTTGAATGATCAACAAATTTTAACGGATTGATTGAGATCCTCTTTGCTAATTTACCTATAATTATTGAATGAGACGATAAAATACTGTGAAAAAGGTTCAGATTGAAATAAGTAAGGGGAGATAACTCAATTATCATAATACATACACATCAAATGACCCCTTCTTCTCTCGTTGAAATAGTCGGAAACGTTCGATCATTTTCGGAACTCATCGATAGTTTACGGACATGCCCGAGACTTTCCGATTGTCACAATATATCTCGAAAGAAGAAGTCCGAGTCATCTCCACGGTCCCTGCCTGGGTCCTGGTCAGGACGAATTACAACTCAGGGATCACTCATGCATGATACATTTGCTCTTTGCCGGATGGGGGCGCTCCTTTCGTGTCGCGCGAATACCATATTTTCTCACCCCATGTTAATTCATTGTGTACGAATTCCAAAGCTATGTGGTGATTTTTTCCTTTTGCCCATGCCATTGTTTGAATTATATTAAACCAAAGTACCTCGCGCGCTCCCATCTGAGCATGACGCAACGTCTCGATGTATATTTAATGCAATATGACTGTAAAATGACCACAGCTGAAAAACAGAGTTTATTATTAAGTGTTAAACGATATGATTAAAGCTTTAAAAGCTATGGGGGAAATTCGTGCGTTAAATGTGAAAGCAATCTATAATCGACAGTGGGGATATTTTGGTTATGATGTCACTTCCTGTTTTCCAGCCCTGGTCAGTCCTCAATGTACAGAGTAGCCGTTTGTGTCGCATATACAACTTTTAGCCATTGTACAATTTATTCCACGATGTAATTTCCATTGTTAAGTCTCAAAGACGAGATAAAGACGATACATTCATCAAATCTTGCTTGCTTTTGTCTTTTTTGTCAGTTGACTTGCGCTTCCAGCAATGTGACCTGTGTGTTTTAATAGTATTTCAGAATGAGTGAATGTTTTTCTATGTTTTATGGACAAAACAAGAAATTAAGTTTATTGACACACTCAGACGAAGAATCATGTCAGACAATAGTGAGCGAGTTGGATTTAACGCCGCTTTTGTCAGACAATAGATCCCACCACCCTCGCTCTTCCCTCAATCGCTTATATTCACCAATTATAAATGCGTGGTTTGATAAGCGTTGAGGCTTTTCGTGACAGAGTCGTATTGTGCACTTTTGCACACATTTATTTGTCTGACGATCCTCTTGTGAAGCATGTCAAGACATGATGAAAACAAGGCATTCCACAGTTCTCTATAACGAGCCAAGGATGTGGGACATTATCTCAATGTCAGTGTTGATTATGTTGATGGTTCTGTACTGCTGGACGGTAGAAATGAGTGTCAACCAAACGTTGTGTCATATCAAATCGGCCAAGACTCTTTAAAGGAGAGGCTATCTGAACTGCATCGAGTTAATGTGCAGTGTGTTGAAAAAGATCAGCATCCCTCGTTTGGATGAGGTCGGCTGGCCTGAAAGTGAAGCAGAAGGCTTTCTGGTCGCTGCTCAGGACCAGTCACAAAGCAGGTTTCTTACATTCTAAATGATATTATGACCCGCACCTGATGAAAGCAGGTTTCCTGTGTCTGATGCCTGCTGAAATAAGTTCCATATATTATTATTATTATTATTATTATTTATCGATTAAAAATGCATCAAAGAGGGTTTGGGTGATCCTGGCACAGTCAGGCTGGCTAGGCTCATTATCAGCTCTGGGCCCTTACCCCCTCTTCACTCAGCCCAGACAGCGAATGGGACTTCTCCAAGGAAGCGCTGTCTAGCCAAACCCACCCAGAACTTTTCGGAGAATGTGAAGACTCCCCAACACTGCAGCCTTCTGCATTACCCAGATTGTCAGAAGGGCTGTATTCTTGGTAGCAAACCCGGGTAGTATCCCAATGTCAGTCAACACAGATTGGGAGGTACCAAACCTAAGGCACCGAGAACAATGGGGAGTAGGACAACTTGGTACTTGGGATGCAAGCGTGACATTTCGAAAGCGAGGTCTGCATATTGCCTGTTTTTTCCTCAATCTTGTCAATCACATTAGTGTCAAAGGGGACAGAAAATTCAATGATATAAATGATTCCATTGGATTTATCAAAAAGGACAAGATCAGAATTGTTGGCCTGGATAAGTCAGAGACTGTAAATGGGCTGTAAAAATTGTATTTATAATTTTTCATGACGCCGTCTACATATTCTGGGTCGTACCATGGGTGGACCTCTGTGTCAAAACCACAAGCATGGCGAAAACGGTAATAAAATGATCGAGCAACACCATCATGTCGTTTAAGATACTGTGTTTGTGCTAAAGCTGGGCATCCACTCACAATGTGTTGGACAGTCTCATTAAATTCATTACTTTCATATTTACATTTTGATGCAAAATCACACATTGACGGTTTCGAGTGGAAAGTGATTGGTCCTGAGCAGCAAACAAAAAGCCTTCTATTTTTTTTATTTATTATTATTATTATTATTATTATTATTATTATTATTATTATTATTAGAAAGTGAGTGAACTAGATTGCACGCCGCCTTGGAAATTTTTTCAGTTTTTCACGAGTGTCATCTTAAGGAAAGACGGATACGATGCATGGCCTGAGATGCTGTGTTGGATCATTTCAATGTATGGAATACTCGATAGACCATTTATAGATATGACACCTTCTTTCACCAACTTTCGAATATGTATTATTGAAATATATGAAAGCACTTTCACCAGACATGGACCAATAGTTATCGAAAAATATGAAGGCATGCTTTCACTCAGCATCAATGTTTGTTTGTTGTTTTACGCCGCACTCAGCAATATTCCAGCTATATGACGGCGGTCTGTAAATAATCGAGTCTGGACCAGACAATCCAGTGATTGACATAATGGGCATCGATCCACGCAATTAGGATACGATGACATGCATCAATCAAGTCAGCGAGTCTGACCACCTGATCCCGTTAGTCGCTTCATACGACAAGCACAGTCGCCTTTTACGGCAAGTATGGATTGCTGAAGACCCACTCTGTCCCGGATCTTGACGTGTCTCAGCATCAATGAAAGGTCATTGAATGATATGAAAACGATAAAATCACTTGTCATAGAATGCAATCAAACAAATGTTAGCAATATGCTCACATAATATACAATAAGAGCGACAAAACAATTTCCATATTCATAAGGAATATCTGCCAAAAATCACGAACAACACTTATTGAATCAGTTTATATTGTATTACGCCTCTATCAGCAATTTAGCATCTATATAAAGGCTACCTGTATATAATCGAACCATTTCCAATCGGAACTGTGACTGGTGATAGCATTTACAACGACCCTCACTGTCGGGGCACAGTAACACACATCTACCAGATCAGAAATTCCGATCCTCGGTAACCGGCTCCTAAAACATATACATCGGGACCTGGGCCCACTTGCACAAAACGATCTTAGCGCTAAGACTATCGTAAGCCTATGTTAAAGTATGGGAGTTAAGATCATCTTAGCGCTAAGATCGCTTTGTGCAAGTGGGCCCTGTTCTGCTCCAGAATCACGAAGATGACGAAACGCTTTCAATTGGGGCATCCCCGAATAAGACCAACGGTGTCCCCGTTCTTGCTGATCTGTTATTCATAGAATTGGAATTTATGCTCGGATTGGCAAATACAAAACAAGGGAATTTGCCAAAAAGTTGAACTGAAGCTTCAGGTATAACGATGATCTGATATTGTTTAATAACCATCACATAGCCAGTTCCTGTGATTTATCCAAATGAACTAGAAATAAAGGAGACAAATGACACCACCTCATCTGTTTCATATTTAGATATAAAGACTCAGTGGGTAAAAATCTTTCCCAAAGACTGTGTGACTTTTTACTGGTTAACTTTCCCTTTGCAACGAGCAATATTCCTGCAGCTCCAGCCTTTGGTGTCTACATTCACAACTTTGGAGGTACAATCGAGCATGCTCTTTCGTCGAAGATTTCGAAGAGCCTTCACACGACTCCTGCTTAAAAGTTGTTCGATCAAGGTTACAACATGCGAGGTGTCATAAAGCTATCAAAATGTGTTAGGATAGACATCTGGGGGACATTTCCAAATTAGACAAAAAATGTAATTCCCTATTTTTACTGTGCCGCGTGTTCCCGTTTTGCTCAGGAGGAAGTAACTTGCTTTTGCATGTGTTTGTGACCAGACTATTTGGTGTCCATTTGAGCCAAATGCATCTGGTATGGGTGTCCGTTTTAAACACAAAGTGTCTAGTATTTGGAGTCCGTTATGAACACATCGTGTCTAGTATGTGGTACTCATTTTGAATTAGGTGTCCGTTTTAAGCACAAAGAGTCTAGTATTTGGAGTCCGTAATGACACATCGTGTCTAGTATGTGGTACTCATTTTGAATTAGGTGTCCGTTTTAAGCACAAAGAGTCTAGTATTTGGAGTCCGTAATGACACATCGTGTCTAGTATGTGGTACTCATTTTGAATTAGGTGTCCGTTTTAAGCACAAAGAGTCTAGTATTTGGAGTCCGTTATGAACACATCGTGTCTAGTATGTGGTACTCATTTTGAAATAGGTGTCCGTTTTAAGCACAAAGAGTCTAGTATTTGGAGTCCGTTATGAACACATCGTGTCTAGTATGTGGTTCTCATTTTGAATTAGGTGTCCGTTTTAAGCACAAAGAGTCTAGTTCTTAGTGTCCATTTGAGAAAAAATAATCTTGTATAGGTGTTCGTGTTAAAGACACTGAAGACGTTATGTTAAGTTCGAAACATACGTCTGTTGCACTTCTAGACTGCTGTTATCCACTGTCTTTGCATGTCAATACTTCAATGGAAGCAGGGACGCATCAAGGTGGACACACACGTTCAAGGCTTCAGTGGCGTCAGTGTCACCTGGTTACTGAATCTTGTGGAAATCATGGTCTGAAAATGTACTTGGTCTGAATCATAATTCATAGTTGCATAGTCAAGTCTCGTTAATCCGATAATCGGCCTTATGCGGTATCATTTTCTTTTTCAACAGCTTGTCTATGTGGTAGCTTTGTAAGCACAAAGTATTTATAACTTGGTGTTCGTTCTCGAAATATTTGAAACTATTCCGAGCTGAATTTTGTTGTTATTTCTCGTTACTAGAATCCACGTTTAGATAATGTCACGATACTCAGACACAAAAGCCCCATCGACGGCATGTATTTTCAAGTGTACATCTATTGTATATCTATAATATTTCAGCAGTAATCCTCATTGTAGGTTATTTGGTTATGCCGGAAATTCACAACGCCATGTTCCAATAAATTTAACGTTCATCCGTCGTTCATTGCAAGACTAAGTGCCCGGTACAACACCACAAGAGGCGCTTCTGATCGTCCGGGGCCAGGTGTCTAACGTCTGAAGACGTTATGTTTAGTTCGAAACATACATCTGTTGCACTTCTGCTCTTATCCACTGTCTTTGCATGTTAATACCTCAATGGAAGCAGGGGCGCATCAAGGTGGACACACACGTTCAAGGCATCAGTGGCGTCAGTGTCACCTGGTTACTGAATCTTGTGGAAATCATGGTCTGAAAATGAACTTGGTCTGAATCATAATTCATAGTTGCATAGTCAAGTCTCGTTAATCAGATAATCGGCCTTATCCGACACAAATGATAGGAACCGATTAAATCAGTGCTATTTGGACCCGTTAATCTGACAGTGTCGCATTCCGACTCCGACACATCTAATTTGCAACGAATTACCGAAATCACTCATTAATCAGTCTCGTTAATCCGACACAGTGATCAGCGTACGCCGTGGCCATCTACCCGCGAGTACACAGCCCGTGTTTTGATGCGAGACGAGTCGGCTGGTAGCTGCATATTAC